AAATGTCAGACGTCGTCGTCAGCACCCTAATCTGCAGGCGTGCCATATCAGGCATCTCCTACATGGATGCCTACCGTCTTCACCTAAATAGAACGCCTGGTCATTATCGCCGAATCTAGACGGGAAGGTGCGCCAAATACAGTAATAATGTCTGGGCATTCTAGTCAGCTGAAGATGGTAGAGTTCCAAACTACAGAGGTGATTGTGTAGCCGAGCGTGAGTCCTCTCTCTTGTTTGCATCGGCACGGTGCCTGGACTGAAGGACAGAAGCAAGGAGGGTAAAGAGGTTAGGGGCAGCCTGGGCAGGTTGAGGGGGATAGCTATAGTCTTCCGCTGCTGAATAAGACGGCTGGTCATTATCGTCGTATCCAGACTGAAAGTTGTACCAAATACGGCTATAATGAATGGGCGTTCCATCGGGTGAAGACAGTAGCGATGAGAGCTCTTGAAAAGCAGGCAGTGGTGTGAGTACAGCATGCACGTGGCTGCGTTTGCAGTGCAGGATGCCTGGAGAAGGACAATGGCATGAAGGGGAGTCAGGGGGGGGGGAGACTTATGGGGTTGGGAGCAGTGTAAATTGGGGGGAAGCATGGTTCGGAGGAGCATTAGCAGGAGTGGGTGGGTGGGTGGGGGGGTTCGGGTCGAGGTAGGAAGAAGAACAGAAAAATAAGTCCTGCTAGTGACAGATGGGGAGGAGGAGCAAAGGGGAGGGATGTGATAGCTCCAACCAATGGACACTCCCTGACAACCGTGCACGAAAAATAACTGATGAAGAGAATACATAGCAAGGGGACGAAGAGGCGAAAGAGGAGGGATCAGACCAGGGAGATGCAGCCGATGCGGAAGAGCACTTCGGTGAACCAGCTAGCCTGCGGGTGATGGCGAAGCAGCATCAACAGAAGGAAGGGAAGCAGCAGCAACAGCCGCAGAAGGAGAAGTGGAAGAAGACAAGAAAGATTAATGATATCCATGGAGCATGGGTGTTAGCAATGTCAGGAGCCAAAGAGGCTGCGGTGTCATAACAACTTAGTCATCAAGCACTTGCTAGTCCTTCTAGAAGATAGAAACCGTATTGCAGCAGAAGAGACAGACCAGGAGCAGAGCTGCAGAAGCAGTTGCAGCAGCAGCAGGCGAAGGAAGAAGAATGAGGAGGTGGCAGCGGCAGAGGAGGAGGAGGAGGAGGAGGAGGAGGAGAGCACATCGCAAAGGTGGATGAGGAAGGAAGGGTGGTTTACTCCTTCGAGAAGATAAAACCTTGTATTGCAGGAGAAGAGAGAGCGAAATGCATTGCAGGAGCAGCAGCAGGAGCAGAAGCAGTGTCATCAGCAGCAGGAGAAGGAAGAAGAATGAGGCGGCGGCAGCGGCGGTCGCGGAGGAGGAGGAGGAGGAGGAGGAGGAGGAGGAGAGCACATCGCATAGCTGGTCCCTCGAGAAGATAAACACTGCATTGCAGGAGAAGAGACAGAAGCAAATGCATTGCAGGAGAAGAGACAGAAGCAAATGCATTGCAGGAGCAGAAGCAGTGGCAGCAGCAGCAGAAGGGAGAAGAATGAGGGGTTGGCGAGGTTGACGGCAGCGGCGGCGGCGGCGGCAGCGGAAGAGGAGGAGGAGGAGAGCACATCGCAAAGGTGCATGAGGAAAGAAGGGTGGTGAGGATGTTCCAGTCACACAAATACAAACTTGAGACACTACGAATTATCGGCATGCTGTTATGTTCTTGATAAGACTCGATTCCATTTTTCGAAAAAAGAAATTTCACACTTTCTAAGGGATGTCAGTGTGCATACGCATGCATGCTCGAGAATGTAACAGCACTACCGTCGTCACCCGAATAGAACACCCAGTCATTCTTACTGTATCTAGACTGAAAGTTGCCCCAAATACAACTATAGCGGAGCCCAGTCATCATTGCTGCATGTAGACTGAAAGTAGCCCCAAGTACAGCTATAATGACCGGGCGTTCTATTTGGGTGAAGAGGGTAGGTAGGAGGAATAAGGTGAGTGAAGGTGGCCTGGGGCACTCTGTTCGACCCCACAAGCAAGAGACAAGGACAGGGGGGGGGGGGGGGGGGGGGGGGGGGGGGGGGGGAAAGCAGGCTCATGTCAGATTCTTCTCAGTTGATTTTTTACTTCTCTTTTTTTTGGTGGGGGGGTCAGTTGATTTTTCCGTTGTAAGTGAGCAGCAGGGTTAGCCGTCACTGCGAGGCGCAAAGGGAGAAAAGAGGACAAAAAGCGGAAGCAGGTGAAACCGCAGGTGAAACACGATGCAGCATTCTGAAAAGCATAGCAAGATCAAAAGGAGATTATGAAGGGCCAGATGCGAGTGCACACGACCGGAATCATGTGACACACTTGCCAGAGAAAACCAATCTGCTAGAATTGATACCTGGCAGTTCAAGAGATGAAATGACGATCAGGTCACCTACGCACACCCACCCACCCACCCCCACGGCTACAAACACTCACACTCACGCACGCACACATGCTCACACGCACACACACATGCTCACACGCACGCACACACGCTCACAGGCTACGTGGCTGTGGCACACCGACGGCAATCGTACAGGCATTGCCGTTCCAGCCTGTCTCCAAGTAGGACATGTCATGTCAGAGTGCCATACATGAGTACAACGTTGACTGCCATCATAGGGGGGATTTAAATAAAAAAAACTTGCATGGGCTACATAGCCTCGTAGTCCTCACGACACAGAATGCCGAACACATGCTAGCCAAACATGAGGTGGTCATCACAGTGCAGCATCGAGCAAGTTCCTTGGGGTTCTGCAGGTAACATTGCCTTGTCTACAAACAGGCGTTGACGGGGCGGCGGGGCCTGATCCAAGGTAAGGGTGTTTAGCTGTTGCAAGATCTGGCCTGCAAATGCTCGCCCTGGCGGCGAGCTGCTTTCAGCACTGCGCACTGATGGTGGTTCATGTGAGAGCATGTTTTCTACCTCAGGCTCTTGTGTCTGCTCCTTGTGTGGTGAGAATGGAGGACGTCCAATTATGGGTGCAGCCAGAGGGGGTCCAGCGTTACATCTGGGACATGAACAGAGAACATGAGGCAGGTGATGGAACCGGCGATAGTCCAGTCCATGCACTAGAGAGACTTCATCTCCATGACAGCCTCCTGAAAACATTGGCGACACATGCAATGTCGCTCACATGCCAGCAAAAGAAAAGAAAAAGAAAAAGAAAAAAAAAAAAAAAAAAAAAAAAAAAAAAAAAAAAAAAAA